AACCAGTTTGATGAAAATATTTCAAATGGTATGTAAAACCAGCACATTGTACCCCATGATTGCATTAATGTACACAGCTATGATTTAATAAAAAAGAAAAAAGCATCTAATATTGCTGGAAGCAGAAGTGTCTCCTTCCCTGTCTTTATGTCTACATGTGTCCTGAGTGAAAACAGTGACAGTATATGCTCTGTCTCATGTGATCCCTGCAAGTGAGCCAGAATATGCCCCTCACTATATTTATATGGACTATACTTTGGCTTGGAGAGACCAAGTAACCTGCCACAGACACAAAGAGCATCTCAAAACCAGACACAGGGTGATCAAAAACCAACCAAAACACAATAGGCCACAAGCACACCTTCAAAACTAAATTTTTTGCTGTCATCTTTGAAATTCCACCAATACAAGATTATACAATAAAGCAGAATCAAATTGAAAGGAAAATTTATCTTACTGTCTGTGGAAACTTGTTTAAATTTTGTATTTAGGCAAAACAGAAAAACATCTGTGGTTTTTTCTTGGAGTATATGTGACTTCAAGGAAGGTTTTTTCATTCAGTAGATTTATAATCTTTTTACCTGAAAAATAAGAGAAAAAAATTGATTTTAAGTTCTTCCTTTGTAAAATTAACTTACAAAACAACAGGCAAAAAAGAAAAGGAAACCAAAGAGCAATATTTATATTTAGTATTCAAATTATCAAAACATTTTATAATTAACCAACTAAAATTGTCTTTGCTTATTCCAAAGAGAGCTTGATACCACTGATAGACACTCATACTATGAATAGTGCATTGGATCAGTAGTTAAAATGTTACGCCAAAGAATCCGAGGACATGTGGCTCAGTGCCTGTAGCTCAGTGGCTAGGGAGTGAGCCACATACACTAGAGCTGGCAGGTTCAAATCCAGCCGGGGCCTGCCAAACAACAACAACAACTACAACCAAAAAATAGCCAGGGGGCGGTGCCTGTGGCTCAAAAAGGTAGGGTGACGGTCCCATATGCCAGAGGTGGTGGGTTCAAACCCAGCCCCAGCCAAAAACGGCAAAAAAAAAAAAAAAGCCAGGCGCGCTGTGTCAGGTGCCTGTAGTCCCAGCTACTTAGGAGGTTGAGGCAAGTGAATCACTTCAACCCAGGTGTTTGGGATTGCTGTGACGCTGTGAGCTACGACACCACAGCACTCTACCCAAGGTGACAACTTGAGATTCTGTCTCAAAAAAAAAAAAAAAAAGAAAAGAATCCAAGGAGAGGGATTTCTATGCTGTTACACAGTTTCCACTTGGATAACTATAAACTATCATCATCAAGAAACACACATCTGGCTTGGCGCCTGTGGCTCAAGTGGCTAAGGTGCCAGCCACATACACCTAAGGGGGCGAGTTCAAATCCAGCTTGGGGCTGCCAAACGACGGCTGCAACCAAAAAATAGCCGGGCGTTGTGGTGGGCGCCTGTGGTCCCAACTACTTGCTTGAGCCCAGGAGTTGGAGGTTGCTGTGAGCTGTGATGCCATGGCACTTTACCCAGGGGGGACAGCCTGAGGTTCTGTCTCAAAAAAAAAAAAAAGGAAAGAAACACACATACCTGCATGCACAGTTCTCTGATAATCCATCACAACTTCTAGAGGTAAAGTACTCAAAACTGGGGTCTCCCATTACCATGCCCAAATAAGTAAATGGCATTCCCTGGCAAAGTAACTGGGTCCAAGGATTGGAGCAAAAACATGTATAAGTGGAACTTGCAACTATTCATTGTTATTTGCCAGACAGTCATGACTTCATCTACTCTAGATCTACTCTAGAATAGAAGACTTAAGAGACATAACCATCAAATGTAATGTGTACATCTTGTTTGGGTCCAATCAGAGCAAATCAATTAGAAAAGAACTTTTTTTTTTTTTTT